GCAGTGAAGAAAAAAAAAAAAAAAAAAAAAAAAAAAAAAAAGAGAGAGAGAGAGAGAGAGAGAGAGAGAGAGAGAGAGAGAGGGAGGGAGAGAACATCAGATTCCCTGAAACTGGAGTTACAGATGGTTTTTAAGCCTGGGAATTGGACTCCGAACTCTGGAAGAGCAGCAAATGCTCTTGGCAACTGAGTCAATGCTACAGTCCCAGTGACCTTCTGGTCCTACATCCATTCCCCAGGGCTGAGATTACAGGGGTGTGGACCACTTCCTGTTCAAGAGGTGCTGGGGACACAATCAGGGTCTCGTGCATGGTAGATGAGACTGTGACTTCTCAGCTACATCTGCAAGCCTCTGGAATGGCCAAATTATGTTAGTGAGATTTGATTAAAACAAAAACTGTTTATTTACTTAAGATTCAGAATACTATTCAAATATTCTTTGAGAGCTGATGGCTTAGCCAACACAATTTTAAGAGTAAATTCATTTGAATCGGGTGACCTACAGTAGGAAAAACTATCTGTGTACATTTAAACACCTTGTCTAGCAGCTGACAAGAGCAAGGCAAGGCCAGTGTTTTGTTGTTTTTCTCCCTGTGATGGAAGCTGTGAGAGTTTTCATTGTTAAGTTTCTCCAGACCCTGCATATAAGTGTGTGTTCTTCATCTAAGCTTGGTTCTACATGTCCTTTCACCAGTTCCCAGGGGAAACTCAAAGTCCTGCATCCAGGGCTCATTGGACAAAAACTGCAGCGCTCACCACCAAGCTGAGGATCTTAAGGGAGAAAACTGAGATCTGTCACGGAACAACTTGCTGTCGAGGGCAAATGGAGACTGCTGGGACAATACTGTGGCTAGAGGCTGTTGATGGATCTTACCTTGCCCATACCCAAATTTTCAGAACCAAGTCCTTGAAAGCAATAGAAAATGATAGGTTATTGGACAGGATTGCCTTTCCGGAGAAATCCTTTGCGATTCTCCTTGTTTTTTTGTTTGTTTTCACTGTTGTTGTTTTGAGATATGTTTGCTTTGTGCAACAGACCTGGCTTTCCTGGAACGAACACTGTAGACCTACCTGACTGGCCCCAAACTCACAGAGACCCGCCTGCTCCCCTACCCCATCCTGCCTCCAGAGTGCTGAGACTAAAGGTGTGTGCCACTACACCCGGCTCCTTTTTAAATTTTCTTTCTTTTTGTTTTTTGTTTGTTTGTTGCCACCCTGGGATATACACGACCCATCTCAAACAAAACAAAACAACAAACTGAAGTCCTGAGAGCTTACACTTATCTTTCTACTTTAAAAACTTCTGCCTCGTTTGGGTTTTAAAACATTAGGCTAATGCCTCCATCTTTGCTGGTCAAATCACATGCAAGTCTGGGGAAAATCAACTGCCAGGAGGCCTAAGGACCACCACCTGACGATAAAGAGAGGGTGCTCCATTGCTCCGACCCTGCCCTTTTTCCTAGGCAGGCACCGATTCAGTGGGCTGGCCGTACCACACAGCTTAGCAGGGAACACTGGGATCTGAGTAGCAATCCCAGGCCTGCCGCTAGGGTGGCTTGCGGGGGTCCGCGCGCCTCCCGCCCTCGCCTTCCCGGCCTCCGCGGCCATGCCTCCGGTCCTCACCTGGCTCTCGGGTTCCTTAACCGCACTCACCCCTCACCCTCCATCCAGCTCACCGGGGCTCTGATCTACTTTGAACGAATCACAAGTAGGGTTTTATTTAGGAGATTTACGATGGGCCAATCAAAGTCGATCTTTCAGCACTTAGCTTCCTTCTGGTTTGCTCACGGTTTTGCTGTGGCTCCAGGCAACGCAAAGCGTGTGGTGGGTGGTGAGCACGTCGGTCTCCTTTACGCCCTCCGATTGGTCGGTCGTGCACTGTTCTCAGTTTCGATTGGAAATTCAAGCTTGTCAATCACATCCCCTTAACCACTAAAATGAGCACGTCGGTCTCCTTTACGCCCTCCGATTGGTCGGTCGTGCACTGTACTCAGTTTCAATTGGATATTCAAGCTTGTCAATCACATCCCCTTAACCACTAAACCCTCAGACAACAACCAGAGGACTATTTATTATCTTCTCGCTGTCCGAGTTGAGATTGCGCGGCCCAATCGTAGAGCTGCCGGATCGGTGCTCCTGGAGGTGCGGAAGTTCCGCGGTCCAGACTTTAGCGCCTGTCCCGACATGTGATGACCAATCAGTCCCCAATCCGCAGGAGAGGCCCAGGATTATTGTGGGGGCAAGTCAAATCGGCTGGGCCCCTCAAGGGTCCCTAACATCCCTCATGAACTGAATCCCCATCACCAGTTGAAATAACATCACGTTCTATTATCCTTAGCCAGCCTTATTTTATTGGTCGTTACTCTTCCCTTTGTTTTGACATGTACCGAAGCAAAGATCAGTGAAACCAAGAGAGAGCCTGGGGAAAAGGACCGAGATCAAATAAACCTTTTATTATTGCCACCCTATCCAGGCAGCTGGCCCACACTTACAGAAGAGTGGTCTTTCCTACCCTAACTGCTACCCAGATTTTGTGCCCAGGCTGTAGGATCTTTGATTAAAAGATCAGGCCAGCGAAAGGAAACAGGGCAAAGTTTGCATCTTTCACTGTGAAAGCAGGAAGGGTAAACAGACAACAAGCAAAAACAATACCGGATTTGAGAACTTCGGTCCTTGAACCCGTGTCCTTAGACAAAATATGGAAACATTGGGAAGCACACTATTGGGTCTGAATCTCTGATTAAATGTATTTGGTCTCCCCGGCCCCAGCCCCACCCCTCCAGTCTCACTATGTAGCTCCTGCTTTCCTGTAACTCACTCTGTAGACCAGGCTGGCCTCAAACTCACAGATCTGTCTGACTCTGCCTCTGGGGTTGTAGTGGGATTAAAGGCATGGGGCCCCTAGCTTAGCTTCTGGTGCATTCAATTTCTGAATTGTTATCTTACGAATGAAATGGAGGCTAATTGAATTTTATTGACTGCAGTTATCAAGTTTATATAAACTAACCTACCGTTTACCTCTTTAACAACTGAACCTTAGCTGACCCATTGAGGAGCTATGTTATTGTTACTGTAGCTATGTACTATTAGAGACTGAGAGGATACAAGAAATAAAATGTGACTTCTGCCTTAAAGTGTTTTGTATAGTTTTGTAGTGTCAGGCCAACAACACAAGATCTAACAATGGGCCAAACCTAATTTATAGTTAACTACTCCAGAGGATAGCAATGTTCCACACTTCAGAACACTTTGATGTTTGAATTTACTACTCCAGAGGATAGCAATGTTCCACACTTCAGAACACTTTGATGTTTTAATTTTTTGTTTGTTTGTTTGTTTGACACAGGATTTCTCTGTGTAACAGCTCTGGCTAAGTGGAGTCAAACTGAGACAAGGTTCCTCTATATTGCTTTAGAGCCTGTCCTGGAACTCCCTCTGTGCTGGAATTAAAGGCGTGTGCCACCATGGCCTGGCCTAATGTTTAAACTTTTATTTCCTGTCTATGAATATTTTGTCTACATGTGTACCACACGCATGCACATGTTCCTAAAGGTCAGAAAAGGTTGTTTCACAGTTCCCATCCCTTTCCAGCAGTCTGTCTAACTATGAACCCATCTAAGGTAACTAATCCACTGATGAGGTCGAGGTTGGAGCCTTCAGGATCCAGTCATGTTCTCCAAAGCCCATTAGAGCTCATTCTCTATGCCTTTGGGGAGCTACAGATCCAAACCATAAAGAACAAGTCCATTTGTTAAACAGTTTTCTTCTCTTCCAAAACCATTTGTTCTGCTCTTGATAGAGTTCAAGGCCAGCCTGGTCTACAGAGCAAGTTCCAGGACAGCTGGGGCTACATGGAGAAGAATTCCTGTCTCAAAACAAACAGAAAACAAAACAAAAACAAAACAAAATAAAAGATCAAACCCTTTCCCTTTTTGTATACATTTTCTTTGTCATGTGTAATTCAAGTTTCTATGGCCAATAGTGAAATTTTATTGCCACACAGTGTGTTCATTTGTTTTTATGTTGATTGTGCCTAGACTCCCTGCAATAACAACAGCTGGGCTGTAACCACAGACTACGGCGTTCATAGCCTAAGATACTTAACTTCTGGGAACTCCAGGAAACAGTTGATTCTTCTACCTTAGATGTCTCCTGTAAGGTCATCTGGTATGCCTATAGTATAAAGACTGAAGAAGCTGGGGCAGAAGAATCTCAAGTTTGAGAGCAGCCTGAGTTATATAGCAAGCATGAGGTCAGCCAAGACTTTATATTGACACTCTATCTTAATAAAACAACTATAAAAATGATGCTGATAATGAATCAGGTTCAACTGGTTATTGGAACTGAACAGACTTTGGAAGTCATACATTTTTATTTTTTCTCAGATTGGAAGAAGAGATTAAGTTACTTCTTTTCTTAAATCACACATTCAGTGGATAGAGAAAGTTCTAGAAGCCTGTTCTATCAGTACAACATTTCTTTTTTCTTTTTTTTTTTGTTTTGTTTTGTTTTGGTTTTTCGAGACAGGGTTTCTCTGTGTAGCTTTGGAGGCTGTCCTGGCACTCGCTCTAGAGACCAGGTTGGCCTCGAACTCACAGAGATCTGCCTGCCTCTGCCTCCTGAGTGCTGGGATTAAAGGTGAGTGCCACCAACGCCCGGCTAACATTTCTTCCATCTATGTAATTTCCTTTCCCAGACAGAGTTTACTTTACTTAGAATGAGGCCAATGTTCTGTAAACTGGCAGCATAGAAAGTTTGTCAAAACTTTCATAATTTTTATCCCATGTCTCATTGACTCTAATGCCATGCAGTACCTATCAATATGTTAGATATTTATACTATATTTCAGCAATTTTGAATTGCCTTCTCTTTTCCATTTTTTCTCCTTGCTTTTCAAAAATCATGTGGTCACTGTGTTAATCAACTTTCCAAGACTGAGACAAAAGAGTGAGATAACTTCAAATGAGGAAAGGTCTATTTGGCTCACAGCTTCCGATGTTGGTCATATCCTTGGTTGGTTCTGTGATTTGGCAGCCTGTGGCAACACATCATGGTGGGAATCATATGATAGAGCAAAGCTGCTTAATGGGCTGTTGCCAGGAAACAGAGAAGGAAGAAGAAGGAGCTGGGCCCCATAGCCTCTTCAAGGGCACACCCCTCACCCACAGTGACCTAACTTCCTTCTCTTTAGCCCTAAGTGCTAAAGGTTCTACAACCTCCCAATTGCACCATACAGGCCTTTAAGGGACACTTGTCTAAACCATAGCAGCCTCGGTGAGAAATTTTATCCTCACATCTTCCCTTCTAAAAACATTTGGGTCTCTTCTCTTTCAACCAAGGAATTTAGAGGTTCCAGCTAAAGATTGGTAAGGGAGGGAAGAATGGTTGGGAGAGCTCAGAACACACGGTTTTAACTCTGGAGTCTGTAGGTAGCTGTGTGTACGGAAGACAGAAGGGCTGTCCACAGACTCACTGGAATTGTGTGGCTTAATGATGCAGATGTGAAATAGCTGTAGCTTTTATACAATTTGAAAGGAAATCCATGACCCCAACAATATTTAAAATTATAGATTCTTGCTGGGGAAGACTACTCTGATGGGTAGTGGTGGAGAATGACCCAGATCCCCCAATCTGTCAGGTCTTGCTGACTTTAAGTGAAGGCACCATGCCCGCTCACATCAGCCCACTCAAGTTTTACCCTCTCTGCCACTCGGAGGTGATAAAAATTCATCAGACTCACAGAATGGTTGAAGTCAGATGGTGATAAAATCCCCATATAATTCTCTCCAAAGAATGTTCTGATTAATAGAAACTGCAGAGGAACTAATTTTATGAAAATAGCAAACGGGATTGTTTCAGTTGAAGCGAGCCCAGAGAGTTGGTGCTGACGCCAAGCAGGAAGATGCAAACAGCCCCATTGTGTGGAGCTGACAGCTCCAATCCTGCCCCTTATTTATCAAATGTCTTTCCGCTGTAAATTATTAAGCTTGGATTTGGGGAGATGTGGGAGCTGACAGAATAAGACAATAGAACAGAAAGCAGACCTGGATCCCTTCCTTCAGTATTATTTCAGCATTGAGTAGGAGAATGGTTCTCTCTTTCAAGAGCTCAGAAATGGACGAGACAAGTAACATGTTTTTGATTTAGGAATTATTTGCTAGTCCTTACAGATTGGAATGGTTTTCAGAGAAAATTCAACCTGTTGGCATGAAACTGGGTAGCAGATATTTTGTCTATTCTCTAAAAGGGTTGCTTTTACCCAGACAAAGGAGAGCTTGGCCAGCCTTACCATTAGGAAGCACCAAATCAAATGTTTCAGGACACACAGCTGTCATATCTAGTTCACGTGTCTTATCTGCTAGGTGGGAAGGCCTTTCATGCCAGGAGGGAGCTCCAAGGTTTATTTGTTAAAGCCAAAGAGTAGACAAACAGGGAAGGAAGTTGAGTTCTGATGATGTTCATCTCCATTTGAGAAACCGTCATTCTAATGGAGAGAGGAATAATGCATTTACACAAATCTTAGGTGCAACTTTTACCCTCTGCCTTCTAGACAGCACAATGGAGGGTTGAGGCTATGTTTCTTGGCCAGATACAGACCTTTCGGGACAAGTAATAGCACGTGGGGCAGTTGGTTGCCTAAGTAGGATCATTCATCCCTTGTGGCATTCATTTATCATTACTGTGTGTTTTGTGCTATTTTGGAAAGTAAGGAATGAACAAAATCACAGGACTCTCATTTTAGTAGGCAGAGCCAGGTAATCAACAAATAAACACA